TTGTTCCACGAGTGTGACGAGGGTGGCGGGACAGCAATGCAGCTGCTCATTTTTATGGCCACGGCAAAAACTGTGCTTAGTTGTTTGCATACCATCATAATTGTGTTTTGAAACTTGGAAGAATTTCACGTATATGTGTCTAATCTCTGCTCCTTATTTTCTTTATATAGCATTGATTTGTTCTGGGTCTTGACGTGGTTGTTGTTGTTTTTTTGTTTTTTTTTTCCCCCCGTCTCTCCCCTTGTTCTCAAGGGAGATGAAGGGGAGGGGGAAATATACAGCAACATCCAGAATTCCTCACAGGTTCCAGCATTGATCAAACCCTGTGAAGCACATTACTGAGGCTATGAAGGCTGCTGGTTTTGTCCTCATTTCACCCTGTTCTGTCAGGGTATTGCATCACGTAATATGCAAAGTGTTCAGAGCTCCTGCAGTACCCCAGTAATAGGGGTGAACTGAGGTTGCAGCAACAGCTCTACCTCTGCATTCCTGTTGCTTTCTATAGGCTTTAGCACACTCACTTGTGCTGCAAACCCTCCTTGGGGTCACTGAGTCCACTAACCGTGATGCGATGCTTGCAAGATCATTAAGAAGCAATTTGGGCAGGAGGGAGAAATGCTCCCAAAAGACCCACTCGGAGAGATCATTTAATCTGATCAAGTGGTGATGGAGTCATTTCTTTCAGGCATTTCTCTTTCCAGAGTTCTCCCACCCCCCTGAAATTAATGCCTCTGTTTTACATCTCTCAATTCACTGTTCTAGGATGCGGGACTGAAAATCAGCAATGCAGTTGTTTGCTCTTGGCTCTCCTTCCCTTTGTCAGCCAAGAGGGTCCCCTTTCTTTTGCCTCTAGTGAGGAATTCTTGGAGGAAGATTGTTAGCAGAAGAAAAGGGTTTATGAAAAGGACAGATGGAAACGACCACAAAATTGAGGGGTCTGACAGCAGCATTTTGGTCAGAAACTCTCCTCTCTAAGGGGCAGGAGGGGCAAGCATCTTCCTGTGTTTCCTTTCCTACTCTGGTTTGCTTTGTCTCTTTGGATGTGTTAGTGCTGCACACCTGGGGTCCTTTTGTCATCTCACTGCAGACCTTGCTTCTCTTTTGGAGAGGAGAACACTGTGCTCCTCTTTGCTGGTGACAATGTGTATGTGGGCCTCTCTTCCCTCTGTGTCCCTACCTTTTGTGCTAGTTCTACCTTCCTGGGCTGTAGGAAGGGGTTCTTTGAGCCAGTGCTCATTCCATTTTGGGTGTGGGGTGGACAGGAGTTCCTGCTCACACCCACATGGCTAAAATGCATAGTAAAGAAGATACGTAGCCAAAGAGGTAAAGAAATACCCGTTTATGATTCTCGCTTCCATCCCTCCCCCCGTCTGGTTTCTAGTAGCAACAAGAGCCTTCACAGGAGCAATACATCTCTGGTGTCACACGAGCGTGTCTGTTCAGGTAATGTCTTTTTGGCCTGATCTGTGCCAAAATATCTTTTCAGCAGAGAGAAATGAGTTGGATGGGAAGGGAGGATGCCCTTGTCTGCCCTATTGGAGGAAAAGTTATACTGGTAGAAGGAGGGCACGGTGGTGTGGTTCATGCTGGGGAAATGGGATGGGATTGCTTTGCTGCTCTTGCTTATTCTCTTCTGGAAAGCAGCTAAGAGCTGCGCTGGCAAACTGTCTCTTCTGGTGTAAGCAGGGCTCTGCCTCAGGCTCTTCTGGCTCTGAACTCTGATGTCTAAACAGATTGCTGAGTTACGCGCTGAGTGTGACTGAATGCCACTGAAACGCAGTGGAGCAGAATTTCACGTGCCCGCTGCCCTGGGCTTACTAGAGGTGCGTGGGGAAGGCAGGGATGTGAGAGGGCGCTTATTCATCTGGTGTGGCATGTGAAGCATTAAGCTTGTGGCAATTCCAGGCTCTGCTGGTACGGGAGACTAAAGGGATCCTGTGACTCAGCTGGTGCCATGCTCTTTCTTGTTCACTTCATATGGAGGGGGGTGGTAAAGAAAGAGCAATCGGAAGGATTGCTCAAGGGACTGTCATACCTTTCAGATGGTGCAAGCATCAAAGCAAGTGAGCCTACAATTAGCCAAGAAATGACAGGCAGAACGGACTTAGATTGTCAGTAAGAAGTAGAGAACAAGCCAAGAGTAGAGTACGATGATGTACTCCCTGTCCTTCCTTTGTCCACAACACTCTTTTAGTGCATTGAAGGAGCGTTGCTGTGTGCCCATGGTTGATTTACTGCCTTCTTCCTTTTCCTTATTTTTCTTTTCTCTTTCTCCACTGTAACGACGAGATGTAACACTGAGATGTTAGGGACACCAGCATGACAAGAAAAGCATCCTGCCTCCTTTCATGGTATCCAGTCACTCATAGTCTACTATTTGGCTCTATGTTGTATTGACTTGAATCAAGAGAAATCCTATGGATATGTGGGGACCTTACTCAAGAGAGAAAATGTTGTAATGCTTTTTTGAGGGGTGAGGAACAAGGGGGGGTAGATGTGTTTTGATTACTTACAGCATTTTTCATAAGAAAGGTAATATGCTAGGAAGAACGATCTCATCTCTTCTCTGTATATATTAAATGGTAGGATGCTGAAGTCAAATCAGGAACTGTAGATCTTTCCACAGTGAAAGCAAGGTAGTTAATGCAGCAGTACTTAGCATTCAAGAGCTTAATTCAGCCTTGGACTTCAGAGTATTCAGCTCCATTCCTTCCCCCTTTCTTCACCTCTTCTTGAGACAAAATACTTAACGCTGCGTGTGCAGTACCTGTCCTAAGGAAGCCAAGAACATTTAGCTTAAGTAGAAGGAAGTGCTGTGCTTAGGGTTTCCTGGCAGCCTTTGGTTTTGGTGTGGTTATAAAGTCTGGAAATATCTGAAGTCACGCTTCTGCCCACATTCTGCTGATGTTCCCTGCTCTGTTTGGTGTGAGGGCACACAGAAGGGAACAGCCTCCTCCCTGTTTTCCCTGTGTGGTCTGCCTTGGGATGTGGTTCTGCAAGTTGTGTGGTTTCGTGTTTTGTTTTGTTTTTGTTTCTTCCCATGGCAAAGGTGATTTCTGAGGCTCCTACCCTTTGGTTAATCCTCAGGATGTTCTGTTAGGCAATGGCAGTGATTTCAGCCTGAGAAGTTTCTATCACTGTCCCCGTTTTGTTTGCTTTGTGCAAGTAAAGGTCATTTGCAAGAAGGGGTGGTTTTCATCCCAGTTCAGCATGGTCCTTAGAAACAATTTGTTGACTTGGAGAGGCAGATGCATTTGTGCTGCAGGGATGCAAATGAATGGTTGTCGCCACTTCTGTGCCAAAGGGCTAATAAAGCTTCTACTGAACCTGTCTAGAACATGGTCCAACAAACGGGTTCATCAGGCCCAGGTAGGTCTGTGTTATGTGTAAGTGGGAGCTTGGAAGAGCAAGAACCTCATGGAATGTCCTTGCTAACATGGAACTGGGCCTGTATTTACTGCATGGTCTTCTCCTACCACGATGTGTGGCTGTATTAATATTCTCATGGGCTTTTCCATGGCACTTGCCAAGGCCTTTATTTGCAACACCTTTTTGTAAAAATTGAGTGATGCATCTCCTTTCCAAATGAAGGGCTAGCATTGATATCGCATGTCATATTGTCTAGTAAAATGGGAGATCTCCTTCAAGTACCTCAGTTTAATTTCTTTTTACTGATGATAAACTGAAAATGAGGCTGATGCTTTCCTGCTGTGTGTTTTTAGACCTCTGCACTCTGTTTTTCCCAATACATTTTGGGTTCTTTATTCAGTTTGCTCAGCTGAAGGAAGAATCACAGTGTCCCAGCTTGAAGGAAAGGCTTTAAGAAATGCTGTGCTATCAGATGAGACACTCCATGCGGGAGTCTTTATAAAGAGAGAAGCACATGTGAGAGCTGAAGTTAATCGCAAGACTCAAACTGTGGGAAATGCGGCTTCGTCAGCTGCAGCGTGCACAGAACCATTTCCTTCCGGAGGTGCTACGCGTGCTCTCGGATGAGTCAGGTGGTCAGCACGGGGATTTGGGTGCATCCCTCCCCAGGTGTCTGCAAAGAAGGAAGGGGGAATGATTTTTTGAGTTTATTGCTTGAATGACTTGTCCAAAATTTGTAGAAGAATGAGAATCCTGGCTGTATGTACTAGTTCTAAGTCTTTCAGGGTACTTGCCTGTTGGGTTTCCTACAGGCAACCTGTGCTTCCATCATCTTTCACTCTATTAGGTGAAATGGGAATTTCACCTTTTAGTTTGGTTTGGTGGGGGTTTTTGTTTGTTTGTTTTTTAAGGATGTTATCCTTACAGTGCATTTAATAGTGACCAAGCAGAAGGGCACAGACTTCAGAATGCCACCACTGGTACTGACTGATCCAGCCCTCTCATGAGTGCTGTTGCTCAGTCACTCATACAGAAAGAGACATTTTAGTTTTAGTCCCATCTATACAAAATATAACTCCTCAGGGCATCTTCACATTGTAAAGGTTAAAAGCTCTTGGGGGCATAATGATACACAGAGGTGGGCTTTTGTCCAAGATGTAAATTGCTGAGGGATAAGGGCTGAAAAATTTGCCAAGATATCTGCAGTCGTGCAACACTAGGAGTCTGGCAATATTGGAAGGTGTGGATTGTGTCTGGGAATTTTTTGTTCTTTAGGAAACAACTGCTCTGGGTGATTTAAAAAAAAATAAATACCTGAGACAGTCTATATCTTTGGTGAACAAGTTCTGAAATATTGTATATCATGTTTCAGAAGTACTGGAACTGGATTGGATATCATATATTTTAGGCTAGTTAAGGAAAATATGTGCAGTTTGTCTGATACCTGTTCTAATTTTGTTTCCTTTCTTTCCTGAATTGTTGGAAACAGCATCCATTTATAAGAGTCCTCAGTGAAGAGTTCAGTGACCATGACTTAAGTCGCTGTTGCAGGACTGGATTTTAGGCTGGAAAGGGAAAAGGAGATGAGATCGTTATAAGAAATGCTCTTATGCTTTCTTTTTGTTTTTCAGTGGATGAATATATTGCCATTGCTAAAGAGAAGCATGGATACAATATGGAGCAGGTAACAACTCTTTAAATACTCATTTTATTTTAAAATTATTTTTCAGCAGGTGTTAAGACATGACTTAAAGTGACTGCCTAAAACTGCTTCCATTCTACACCATCTGTGTTTTCTCCTCTCCTACCTTCTCCTGTTCCTAGTAGTAACATGTGCTCTGGGGATATGGAGTTCATCCTTAGTTTTACATCAATACTCCAAAGAAAACCAGAACAATTGTAATTTCTAGTGGAGTTTGGCCACGAGTATTAGGCTTCCTATGGTGACTCCCTCTTAAATGCTTTCAGAAGCCCTAAACATTGTTAAAAAGATTGGTTTGTCTTTGGACAGCTGCTTGATTGCAGCTGTTGAGTGCTCCAGTTGAATGCTCCACTTCTGCTTCATGGATTTATTGGCAGTTATTAATGAACTATTGAACCATCATGTGCTTTTTGGAGGCAAACCGATATCTATGGTTATTTACCTTCAAACTCTGCTGTAAATCATTTTGCATTTCATAGATGAGCACCTCAGATGTCCGTGCAGTAGCAGTGGACAACTTCAGCAGCTGTCCCTGAGGTTAGCCGGTGCCTTTAGCCTAGCGATGATGGAAATCCTGGTCTGAGGAGCGGCCTCTCCTTTGCTCCACGTGGTTTAGGATTGTGTGCTAATGTGCCCTGTGGTAACTGACATCAATTTCAACATTCAGCTGGGGAGATGAGTAGACCTGTGCCTGGGAAGCTTTTCTGAATTTTGTGGAGTTTCCTTATGCGCTAATACTTGCCTGGAAATGGAAGGTGGGGAATCTCATGACTTACTGAATTGGCAAATTACGTACTGTCTCTACAAAGGGATTCTGTGACAACTTGAAAGTTCATGAAATTGTTCAAGCAGAGGCCATAGGCATAGAAACCAGTGATTTGAATGGGCAAGATTTCTATTTAAATGACTCTGCTCTCATCTTTGAGTCAGACTTTCAGTGGTTGATACTCGTGCTCAAAAAGACTTTGTGTGGAAGAGGAACGTTGTAGTTGAGATAGCCAGCAAAATTTCTAGCAAAATCAGGAATGATCAGACTTGATAATTAGAGTTTCTAAGAACAGAAGACAACAATAAAAGGAAGATGAAAGTATCAAAAGGCTGCAAACTTAAATGAAAATAAGAAGGGTAGCTCATTTCACCTGAGATGGCTATATCCTAAGACTGGATATCGTGGGTACTATTTGCCAAAAGAAATGATATGAGAGTAGTAAAAGTGAATTTCATCTTTTTCATTAATGGAACTTTTCATTATTTTTTTGTTAATGGAGATGTATTGTTTGGAGAATATAGACTGATTTGGAAGACTTATCAAAAAGAAGCTTGTGATATTTAAACAAACCCACTTAATTCTTGTATTTTGAAAAACTTAGATTTACTAACAGATTTGCATTCATTTTAATGTTGGAAGTACAGACCTCCCAACTCATTCCTTGAGGCCTTTCTCCCTGTTTTTATTTTTTCCTCTGTGTATAAAGTGGAACAAGGGACTCACCACACCACAATGTAAAGTGGCTGATGAAGTTGTAAAAATGCCACTTCTAAAAATTTTCTCATTCCTTCCCTAGCAGTCTTGCATAATACTCTGGAGTTAAATATGTTTCCCAGGTCCTGTGGGATTTCGTAGACAGCTCAGCCTAGGCACTTCCAGGAAATAACTGGAGAGGACCTATCTTACATTGCTTTGGAAGGCACATACTCATTTTGTATTACAGGGACAAGTGTCAAGGCTTTCAAATCAGGGTGATTTGTTGTGTCATCAAGGGACACTCTTCAGGTATCACTGGAGTAGCTGTTGGCTGGGTAACTGTGGACAAGCTGATACAGGCTCCCTGGAAGCCAGTCAGAGCTCGCTTTACCATTTGGCCACCATCTCTGGGCTTTGCTGGCCAAGGCAGCCCCTTCCCACATGTGCATCCCTCCGACAGTCGGTCTCTGTGGAGCCCTGCGCAGGTGGCTCGGCTGGCAGTCATCCCCCAGAGATTTCCCTTCTTCCATCCGTGCCCCCTGCCCAAAACCTACCTTTGCAGATTAAGATGCATCTGTTTAAGGGAGTGGCGAGCCGCCTGGCGGGGCTGCTGGGGCTCGTGCTGGAGCTCCTGCCCGGCAGCTTTTCTGTCCAGCTGGCTGCATCTGCTCCATGCTCAGCTCCACTGCTCTGTCCTTTCTCTCCCCTTGCCTGTGGCCGAGTGCCCCGTTGGCTCCGCTGCTGTCAGATGATGGCTGGAGGCTCGGGGCTGTGCTGGTGGAAGTCCCTGCAGCCTCGCCAGCTCGAGGGAAGGCAAAGGGCAGGCTCTGGCAGGGCAAACCCTCTTGAGCTGGTATTGCAAGCAGCCGTAGGTGGTTGTGCTGAGCAGTCACAGGCTTTTGGGAGCACTACAGCAAGTCTGGCCATGAGCTACAACCTGCTACATTGTAGGCTGGAAAAGCCGTGTACTTACCTGTGTAGGAGTACGGAGCTCTCCTAGGACAGCACAGGGTGGAGGAGGACCACTGCTCTCCTGCTAAACAAGGAAAACCTTGTTATTTATCTCAACTCTTGCTAGTGCCGTAGGGGTATTTAGCACTGTTTTGCCCTCCCAGAATGTCTCCATCCTTGTTTTTCCTTTGCTTTCTCACAAGGATGTTTGGTATAGCTCATATCTGAAGCTGAAAGGGATGGCAGGGAAGAGAAACTCAGTCCTTTGTGACTGCAAAATAGTTTCTTTGGCCCCGTTCTTGCTAGAGTGGCTGTGCAGCTCCTGTGACATCTCAGGTGACTGTGCGGCAACCAAGACTACTACTTCTTGTTCTGCAAGGTGGCAAAAAGGAGGAGAGGGTGCCTGGGCAGCACCGAAAGGCCAATAGGGTCAGGACAAGATCTTGTGTAACACATATTTATACACATACTCTCTACAGAATCTCAGGGGAGCAAGATCCCATAAAGGAACTGCTTTTTGCATAGCAAAGCATAATGGGGAAACCCCACATTTGAAGGGATTTTGTAGCTCTGAGCAGCCAAGGGGAAACTACTAGATGTGAGGGGTAACTGGTTGTGAAACCCGAGCCAAGTTTGCATATGACGAGCAGGTTACCCTGATGTTTTACTCAGCATGTTAGGGTTTGTTTTCACTTTAGAGCTGTTGCAAAAGGCTGGTTTCTAGCTCTGCAGAGTCAGGCCTCCCCCAGGCTTGTGGTGGTCACTGGCATGCGAGGTGCAGCACTGTGTCATAACACACAGCGGCTGTGCACCCCTGGGAGAGAGCTGGCTGCGAGTGAGCATCTTGAAGGTGGTGGGAGGAGGATGGTTTGCAAGTGGTGAAGCTCAGCACATGCACTTCTTCTTTGGAACTGAGAACCAGAGACTGCAACAGTGAAACGAGGCATCTCTCAAGGGAACAAATGAGCAGCCCCCAAAATGAGTGAGATTTGCTCCTCCTTTGGATCAGGGATGTCTTAGCAGCAAGTCAAGATTGCGCATGTTCTCTCCCTTTCCTTCTTCCAGTTCTTCCTTCGTTCTCTTCCCATTTTCCCCCTCTCCCTCAGAAAGAGCCCCCTAAACAACTATAAAAACCTCCAGTCAACTAAACCGCCTTCCTAATTGCACAGAAAATGGAGTTTAGCACTGGCAAGAAGCTTCCTTTAGTCCAACCTGGTTTTTTACGTAGTCTTTTTAAGTCTTTGCTTAGCTTGCCTGTGCATACCATGATCAGTAAAGTTGGAATGAAGTCTTCAATTTCTTCTCCCACCTTTCTGTTTTTGTACTTTTATTACGTTACTGCCTGTGTGGTTTGGATAAACTTCAAGTTGGTCTTCACAACATAGCAGAATGGGAGTCAGATTCCAGGTTTCTTGTACACAGAGTGGTGTCAAATGTAGCTGAGAATTAAAATTTTGTAACATATTGCCTGAGAAAAAATACTGTAGGTCGCCCTTTAGATGCATGTAGTAATGTTTCTTGTGATTACAGTTGTCCCCTTGGTGTCCTTGTTATTCCTAGGCCCTTGGGATGCTGTTTTGGCACAAGCACAACATTGAGAAGTCTTTGGCAGATCTGCCAAACTTTACTCCGTTCCCAGATGAGTGGACAGTGGAAGACAAGGTCTTGTTTGAACAAGCCTTCAGTTTCCATGGGAAAACCTTTCACAGGATCCAGCAAATGGTAAGTGGTGTCACAAGAATAGAAAAGCCGTTGGACCGTCGTCTTTGGTGCTGATAGTGCTGAACTCCTGTCTAATGCTCTTGGGAGAGAACAGATTAAAGGGGACGTTAGAGGAAGAGTATTACCAAGGAAGAAGCAACATTGTTTACGGACTCCCTGTAGAAGTGTTTTCCTGAAGTGCTTTACTGGTTCAGGATAAACTTTGTGCAGTTTTTTTGCTTGGAAATTACAGTTTTCAGTCCCCTGTGTGCTATGGTAGTGTTTGTCTCAGCTGGAGTTCAGGCATGGTCTGTACACACATGCCCACCCACACTCAGAGTAAAGATCATCTCAGTGCAAAGCTGATTTCCTTTCTTACAGCTTGCTTTTTAGGAATTTGTTTTGTTTGACTGTGAAGTCTATGCTCAGTGTGATTTGGGACTGTCAGTGGATGTGGTGGAGGTTGATACATTATTGCAAGCATTCAGTCCCTTGCTTTCAGTTGGTAGTGATGTTTTTTTTCAACTGCGATTAAAAACTTTAAGGGTAAGTTTCTGCCTGAAAGGTAACTGCTGGGGTGTGTGCAATTTTCTTTCAAAAAAGGGAGAGGATGGGATGTAAAATTTTTTTTATTAATTTTATCTTGAGCGTTTCTTCAAGTGGTTCATCACCTGAGTGGGAACTAGACTTTGTTCTTTGCTCTCTCCTTCAGTAAAGTGCCTCTTGAGCATGCCAGCAGGACTCAGTTATGTTGGTTGCAACCCTTTGAAGTGAGCCGAGGCTGTTGCAGTCTGTTCAGCCTCTTTAATGCACATGTGAAGGTCTGTCTTGCTGATCCTGCTGAAAAGCAAGAGTCAACTTGCCTCTCAAGTATGGAGGAAAACTGCCAGGTCCCTTTTCAAAAAGGGTGGAAGGAAGAGGCTCACTTTCCTCGTGTCCTCCTTGAATGTTCTTTCAGTAGTGTTTGCTTTCAAATGTCCTCGGAGTCCTAGGGCCTCCCACTCCCTTGGGTCAGTTGATGAGGCTTGCATATTCTATGGACAGCTGATAGAGAGAGTTGTGGGCTCCTGAAGGGTGAAGTTCTTTTCTTTATTCCTCTGTTCTTACAAAGGGGAAGAAAAAGGGGAGGTGAAAGTCCAAGGGAAAATAAGAGAACATAAAGCCTATTATGTTGCTTAGTTAAATGCCAAAGCAAGAAATTCTCAATTCAGTTTATGTGCAGAAGCATGACTGTGTCCCCAAGTGAAGTGCATTCTGGCACAGGGATGCCAAGCTCACGCACTGCTCCCTAGGTAGTGATATTTTTTTACAGTTGCTCCCAGAAAAGCTATCCTGCATGAAAGGAATTAAATGGCAAGAAGCTTTGCGTTTAGCAGGGGACAGGAATCAATGGCTCGGGAGCATGTTAGTTTATATATGCTGCCCCATTAACACCAGTGTGGCTTGGAACTGAGGGGAAGAATCAAAGCCAGAGAATGAAAAGTGAGTTAGGTTATTTACCGGAGCTGGTTCTGATATTTTGGCACGCTTAGTGTGTGTTTGTAGCCAGGTGGATGTTTGTCACGAGCAGCCTTGTTCCCTGGGTTTGTTCTGTGGAACTCTCTTGTTCCAGCACACCAGCAGCATGGCTACTGGCAACACAACCTCGACATAGCACCTGTGGATTTATGCCTGTGTGCAGCTGTGGGCCAGGGTGGTAGCTCTGGTGTGATCCATTTTTAGGACCTAAAGGCAGCCTGCAGGCTGAGAACCAGGCTTATCTCAAGTCAAGACTTCAACTGCAGTATCTGAATAAGAGAGATCTGGCTCTTGGTCGCAGTTTTGTTTTCCTCTCCACCTGTCCTGCCCTCCAAGCTGAATCAGACCTTTACCTAAAACATGTTTCATTCAGACTCTTACCTTGTGGAAGTCCTGTTTAAGAACATTCATGCGGTGTACCTCAGAAGTAGAGAATTAGTCCTAATGTGTAGTTATACAGTTTTTGGAGGCAGAGTTTTCATTCACAGCTGCAGGGCAGTGACACTGGTGTGAGAGGACGAAAAAAAAATAATTCCGAGACTTGGCGTTTTCCTATATCCTCAGTTCACCGTACAATAATGTTTCACCTTTTGAAAACATCTTTTGTGGAGACCTTTGAATAGACTTCATCATGTGAATGGTGTGAATAAGACACTTTAACCAAACATCAAAGATATACTGGGGTTGTAGCCTGCAATTCAGCAGTTCCTGTGGCTGCTTACACATGCCTGTGTTGGCTTTCAAAACTGTTATCTCAGTTTCAAGGCCCCATTTTGGATTCACTCTTGCTATGTTCCTCTATTCTGACGGGAACCAACTACCTGGCTGGTGAGTGGAGGCTTGCTGAGATGCTCTTTAGAGATTTTGATGTCCTAAACAGTAGTCAGTAACCTAAAACTGTCCCCCATAGATTTTTATTTATTTTTTTTTTTTGAAAAGCTGCAGAACTGATTTGCTTGAGCCTTTGAGAGAATCAGAAGTAGAGAGATCAGATGTTCCTTGACAAAACCAGACCAAATGTATGTGAACTCCTGGGGATACTTTACATATAAACATATAAAAGGATACATGTTTAATTTACAGCTTCCTGACAAATCAATAGCCAGCCTGGTGAAATTTTACTACTCCTGGAAGAAGACAAGGACTAAAACTAGCGTGATGGACCGTCATGCTCGTAAACAAAAAAGGGAACGTGAGGAAAGGTAGGTTTGCAAGCAGAAAGGCTGTGTATTGACGCACACTAATTTCTGAGTGACTATCTCAGAGATTCCTGTTAGCTTGTAAGAAAACAGATGTAGGATTTTTCCCAAAATGTTACCTGGTGCCACACCTTCTTTCCCCACCCCTGTTCCCTGCTGTGCATGTTTTGCTTTGCTTAAAGCCAAAAGGAACCTGTCAGCAACTGGCTGTGCTCCCTTTTTCAACACTGTGCGATTCCTGATTGCCCTCTGGTGTGCGGTGGTCACTGTCCCATCACTCTAGAAGCTTTTTCTCTGATACTGCTTCAGGGTGGAGAAAATGAAATTAAAACTGTTGACAAGCTGATGGACACTGCCGACAGCAGAGCCGGAAAAGCTGATAAGCAGGACAGTTTCAAGGAAGTAATGAAAGAGCTAGAAGTCTGCCTTTTGTTTTCTCGGTGTGATACTCACTAGAGTAGAACATGCACCTGCATCCAGTGCAGCACTCCTCCGCCTGGGCGTGTGCACACACAGACCCTTCCCCTGCCCTCGACTTCAAAGACTGTTGCCTGTAAAAGGCTGTCAGGCCAAGCTCTGTACCCTGAGAAGGATGAAATTAAGGCTGTGGTTCTGAGTGACTGAGAAAAGAGTAGCACAGGGGAACTTGGGACGAGTTCTTGGGCAGAGGTGTCTCAAGGAGCAGTGAGTGCGTTAGGATTTGGGTGAGGAGGTGGTGTTTTCGGGCTGGTTGCCAGCCACTGAGCTTCAGCAGCCAAGCTTGACTCCTGCTTGTGCAGCTTTGTCTGAAAGTTCACCCCCCGGGGTACCTGTTGCAGTCCCTTGCAGGTGAGTCAGCCAGTGGCCTTGCGCGTATTGCTACAAGTATCTCTACAGTGTAGAACTGCCACTCAGGGACTTTGCCTGGTTCTGGAGCTTCTGGCCTCAGAAATGTGGTGATCTCAGGTGTCTGTGGGGAAGAAAAACCCCTCTGAACAGCAACAACTCCATCTGCTTGAAGCAGGTGCCTTCTCAACATGCTTTAAAATGCAGTTGATATCTTTGCAGACAAAACTTGAGGTGCCTGGCTTTGGAAGACTCCTAATGTAACTGGCCAAAATTCTGGAAAAAATTTTCCTTCAAAGGAGTTGCTGCTCTAGCACTTCCCAGGGAGCTATTTGCTGGCTCCAGCATGTATAAGTGAGCCCTGTTTGGGAAGGGGAAAGAAATGTGTTTCCAGGGTTGATCTGTACTACACCAGTGACTCACTCAGCCTCTCCCATCTCTCCACTAGATCATCAGTGGTTGCTTAACAGGCAGGACCAGGGAGAACACTGCCAGCCAACTTGTCCAGCATTTGGTTGGCTTTTTCTGACCTGAGACTCTTTTTCCGTTCTGTTCTTTTCCCTCCTCTGCAAAAGCTGTCTTGATTTTTCTTCTCGCTGTCCTGCTTCTTTCTTATAATTTTCCTCCTAATTTATGAGATGGGGGGAATCTCTTGTAAGGAGTATATGTTTGTCTCATTCTATGTAGTTTAGGGTCTTTTAATACTACCTCTCTATTTTTGTTCTGTGCTCATGAATGAAATTACTGCAGTTTGGAAATACGCTTCGCTGGTACCTATGCCTGTTGGGGGAAAAGCAGCACCTCAGACCATCTGGTGATTGGGAGAGAACTGTGCGGGCTGCCATGTGCTGTGATTTTGTTACCTGTGAGGAAGGCAGCTGGACTGGAAGAGACATCTGCAGCAAGCTAAGCACCAAGCCGTTAGCTTCGTGTTAGATTTCCCTTCTTTACCTCCGTTATGTAAAATAGTCAAACCCTTGCATCCCCAAAGGGTTCGTCACTGCATCCATGCGGGGCGTGGAAGCAAAGCTGGGTGAGTTTGGGTGCCCAGATTTTGAGGCTGTACTGGGCCATTGGGCGTTGGCAAAACTTCAGAAATATTCTTCAGTTAAGTGATCAATGTCTAAACCTGCAGAAATGAGTAGGTGGGTTTTGATTTAGCTCATGTCTAGGGTATTTGCTGGAATAGAAGGGCAAGCTACGAGCACGGCGAAGCCCGTAGGGGTTTGGCCTTTGTAGGAAGGCTGAGATCTGACCTTAGGTGAGAACACAGGGAAGCTTTTTTGAAGATAGGGTTAAGAGGCAGTCTGAGAGATCACTCAAACACTGCTGTATCTCTTCTGTGGCTAAGCAGGGAAATTCCCCAACCTCTCAGATTGTCACTAAAATAGCTCCCAGTGCATTTGGCACCCGATTTTCAGTAGCTGTTCTTAGTTGTCTGCAAGGGGCTTTGTGTATGCGGCTCTGGGAAGGGGTGCTTGTGAGTTTATTCCCTGGAATCGTGATAGCACGAAGTCAATATCTTGTGAATCAGCTCAGGAGCCAGGTGACTTAGGAGAGTAGCAAGGCCTTGTACAAGCGACTGCTGTTGTGGAGATGGATGCCAGCTCAAGCCACCTGGCAGCACGTTCCTCCTCAGCCGACATCTGCAGCGGACATCGCTGCAGCAGGGAGACAGCCCGGAGCTGGTGCCGTTACCACAGCCCCGCTCACCTCACCAGCACGCGCCGTGCCCCCTTCCTGCGGGCACGCACCCAGGCTGGCTCCAGCTCCCCGGCCTACTGGGCGCCGGTGTTGTGACATACCCCTGCCAGCCCAAGTTCCTTGTCCCAGGCTATAAAGTTTGATATGACGAAACAGGTTTATTCTTTTAAGAAAAAAAGAAGCTTTGATTAGACCTGCTTGTTTCTTTGCTTCTGGACATCATCCCAAATGGTGCAATTAACTTTAGTTGTGTATAGTACAAAAATTCTGAATGGCAAAAATATATTTGATTTAATGTCTGGTTAAAATTCCAATGAAGCCCAACTGGCCAGGTGTGCCAAGGTCACTTTTGATATGGCCCCAGTTTCATGCCTATTATTATTCTGTAACTGTAACCTCTTTTCCTTTTCCAGAGGAGAATGAAATGTGATGCAGTCACTGAAAAATAAAACTCAAACATGTTTTATGCTTGTTCTTGAGGGAGTTCATCTTGTGCATGTCTACTTAGCTAAATGTTAAGGAGTTGTATGAAATCCATGTTTTAACTAATTGCTGTAATTCTAAGTTTTTGTTTCTGTCTTGGTTTTCCTAAAGTTATAATGCTCAGTGTCCCATGTTCTCCAAAGATAACTTGTGTAATCAATTTCATGTATCTTCCCTTCATCTGAGGCTCTTTTTGCCTACATACACCACTGAGAAGTCTTGCTTTACAGGGCATGGTCCATAGTATCTTTACAATTAAGAATTTATTGACTTAAACAAAAAACAAATAACCAAAAAGCCAAAACAAAAAAAAAAGGAACACTGACCCCCTAAAAAAACAACCCCACACTCTGAGAATAAAACTGAGGAGAGCTGCTGGACTTGTTATTGCATCCCTGTCTTTCTTTTAGCATGCTATTTAAAAAGAGGGCCCCACAAACTAATAGAGTACTGTTTGATTTTTGTTTTCCAGTGAGGATGAAATGGAGGAAGCAAATGGAAATAACCCAATTGATATTGAAGTTGAACAAAACAAAGAGAGCAAAAAGGAGGTATAATTCTTTTCTTACTACTGTACATATGGAGGTGTTTACTTACTAGATACTTCATATAGAAGCTGACAGTATCTAATTTTCTTTTCATGCTTTGTGTAGTTGTCATACAAAAAAAGAATTGTCTTCAGAATTATTCTTAGATCAAGACAAGTATAGACAAATACATTATTATGGATGTAGATGGGAAAATTTAAGACTTTATCATGCTGTGATAATGTTCTCTGGGAATGTTTCTAGGTTCTTTGATTCTCTCTTTGCTTTTGTTAGCTTGAACCACCTTCAGTATTGGTTTAAGTCCACTTAATGATGTGGAGATGGAGTAGAAGCACTTATGTCCCCACTGAGATTGCTTGGTGAGGGGGAAATATGTCCTTTAATCTGATCTAGGCAGGCTTGTAAGAGCGTGTTTAGGCCTTTGACTCTGAGGTAAATTCTGGTGGCACCAGGATTGCAGCTGCAGTGGTGAACAGTAAAGAATGTGAACACTTTCTCTCTGGCAGAGGGGTCTTAATCTGTTGTTAGGCACAGAATATTTTGTCTACTTAAAACATTGTACTCTGCACCTCACTTGAAATACTTTATTAGCCTGGAGAAGAGGAGACTCGGGGGGACCTTATCACTCTCTACAACTACCTGAAGGGAAGTTGTAGTCAGGTGGGGGTCAGGCTCTTCTCCTGGGCAACCAGTGACAGGACAAGAGGGCACGGCCTGAAACTGTGTTAGGAAAGGTTTAGGTTGGATCTCAGGAAGCCCTTCCTCACGGAGAGGGTGATCAGGCACTGGAATGCACTACCCAGGAAGTGTTTAAGGAGAGGCTGGATGTGGCACTTAGTGCCATGGTCTAGCCGATGTGATGGTTTTGAGTCATAGGCTGAACTTGGTGATCTCAGAGGTCTTTTCCAGCCTCAGTAATTCTATATGATTCTGTGACTTCCAAGCAGGCATCGAGTTCTGGATGAAAATAGTCACACAGATATAACAGACCATTTTGGAAACCTAGTTTGTGATGCTTAACAAGAAAGTTTATACTTTATTTCTATATGTATAACCTGCTGATTGTCCATTACTAAATAAAGCAGCCTTGCCATTCAGCAGCAGTGTAAGTTCTACATGTGAGTGAGTGCAACAGGAAGATGTTTACCCTAAGGCCTTCTCTCCTTGAAGTAGCTCCCTTTCTTGTAGCCAATTTTTTCTCACACAGTCATTCTCTTACTTTTTCTTAAATTATCTCTTAAGAGAGTATATTTAGGGAAAAAAACCACACTAGAAATATTTTAGAGCATGATGGCACACAGATGAAAACAAAGTCCTAGAGCAGTTGTTTTGTTAGTCATTGTCAGTGAGATTAATTCCTCTGATAAATTATTTTGAATAGAAATAACAGAAGAATCAAAATATTCTAGTCTGTTCTTCATCTGTGCCAGGGTGCTCTCTAGACTTTCCAGAAAAGCCTAGCTTTTGCTTCCACCAGGGAACTGGCATCCCTGGTGACTTCCTAGGAGCAGAGTGGATGTGAAGCCACTTGTATTCACCCCTACAAGAAGCTGAGTTCTCAAAAGGTTCAGGAACATCCCAGTTGGAAGGGTTCTGACTCGGCTCAGTTACAGAGGCATACTGCAACTCTCCAGTGTATCTTGTAAGTCTTGTAAATAGTTAATGCTGTCATCTCATTTCCCATATTTTTAATACATTTTCATATTTAGATTTCTCCATAAACTCCTTGAAAGCTTGCATCTGTAAGAGATCTCCCACCAGTCTTCTTAATTATTGCTTCCTTCCCTACCAGTGCTGCCATGTTCTGAACCTGGTGCAGAAGAGGGAAAGGTAGTTCTACACCACTTTGGCTACCTCTGTTGTAAGGCCAAACCAGAGAAGATGGCCTATAAGTTGCTGTCAAGGTGTTTTTGTAGAACATCTTGTATGGGTGGAGGCTGTCTGCCCTCCCTGTCACGAGTGTCCCTGTAGAGTGCCATGGCACTCTAACCAATCCGAGGGAGATCACCAGAACTCACGAAGCATGTCCAGTCTGGCTGTGTGTGCAATGACGGGCAGCCTTGGGGGGTCTCTCCTGCACAGGGATTGTATTGGTGGGTGAAATGAAGGTGACAAACCTGCGTAGCCTGTACAGAGCCATTTTGATTTGTTTTTGTGATACCTGATCATGAGACTTATTGAAAATGCCTTGAGAGAGAGCAGGTAACCAGAGGGCGGGAATATGTTCTTTCTTGACCATTATGTTTCTTTTAATGATGTGGTCAGAAGTGCAGGGGTGGTGATGTACCACTAGCCTGGGACTCTTACTGTAAAGAACCTCCCTGGCATAACACTGCAGGGATGGTTTTTCCAGCTCTGAGACACACAGGTAACTGTATGACTTGCCGTCTAATACTGGGATTTTCAGAGTATCCAAAATCTCTTTTTTGTTTCCTCTTTTGGGGATCACTTGAGGGGGCAATCTTCCTTTTTTTTGTAATTTTTTTTTTATTTTTTAGTACTTTCAGTGTTAGTGCAACTGTTCAGGTTTCCTCAGATAGTGACTCCATAATACTGAGGTCATGAGTAGAGCTGATTTCTCCACATCTTCCCTCTTCCTGGAAATGTCTTCTACTTCACAGAATCACAGAATCTCAGGGGTTGGAAGGG